AAAGGATGAAATTCCTACTTCCAAAAGTTTTTCTAGAATTTCTGTATGGAATATAGAACGAAGCGAGATATTGAGATGAGTAGAGGGCAGAAAGAACAAGTGAGCTCTACAACGCTAACACTCAAACATTTCACAAAGTACGGACTGATTCAGCCCAAAACTGACTGCCATATCCACTTTATTTTTCTTAAGGATTTCTGTTGCGATATTCGCTTATACATATTTACCCATGTATGTCGGATATATAATACAGAACGTCACACACAAAAAAATTAAAAACTTCAGAAAAACTGCTTTAAAAAAATCAGAAAAAATATCAATTTTGCATCACCGTATATTTGCAGTCCCAAGGATAAAGCGCTTTTCCAGCAAACGCGTGATATTGTTGCAAACAAACAGTTATACTTATCTAAAAAAAATTTTTATAAAAAAATTGTTAATCTTTCTACTTACTTTGCACAGCATTGTGGGTACCTTTAGATCCTTTCGCACCAGCCATGGCAATTTTTTTGTTTAAAATAAACTGCTTTTATACCTATGTAGTCAAACTACCTCTGATATTTATTCAAATAAATTTTTGTGTATATCGTCTTGCATTCACTTAAAAATTTGCACAAATTCCTTAAATCCCTTTTAAAATATATTTTTTTATTTTTATTATATCACTACTCGGTTAGTCCTTTTTGTCTGATATTTAATAGAGCACACAGCCGTTGCCTTGGGTGACTCAAGACAAACTGAATTCCAGTTTTGAAATAAATACACTCTCAAACAACGAATAAAATGGTGTGGCGCGCTGTTCAAAGTAGCTATAAAGTGGGTTTTAAAAAATGCACTCACACATATATACATATGTATGTATGTATAATCTACATTGTAGATACATTTCTAAGTACGAATTTAATTTTAAAACATCGAGCTCGTGCGATCAGTGATAGCTTGGAAATTGTAAATAAAAAATAAGAAATTTTGCACCTTTCGGGGGATCAGGAAATAGTTCATATTCTTTTTTTTTTTTTACTCTAATTTCCACATTTAACATTTTCAGCTCAAGAATTAGCATGTTTTCTAAAATTATAACAAATTTGTTTTAATTAATCGTTTGGTACATACATACATACATATGTATGTGCATCCATAGGTACATATTAGGGTGGTACATAAAAAATTCCAAAATCTAAATTTTCTATGGCGCACCCGTTTTCTTTGTTCTACGTACAAGATAAAGATATCGCACACTCAATAATATAACGAAGTATCAACTCATACAGTTGGTATGGAAAAAGATATACGGAAAGAAACATACCTTCGCCATATTAGGGAAGTTTAATTTTATTTTAGACTGAAAATATTTTCTACTTATCAAGCTTATTAGTTGCATAACGAAACTTTCAAAAACGTAAATTTCGAGTTACATTTCTACATTATTAAACGTGCGATGTGTATCCACGACAACTTCAAAATTTTTAATTTTAAGAGTCGCAAATTTTTAGAGACCATCCTAATATTTATATTATACTGTATTGTCTTAAAAACTAGCCGAATAAAATTTTATGCGATTCGGAACACGCAACTCGTGCAGTCAAAGTTATCAAACAGTTCGCGTGTTCTGTACTTTGTTGATCCTATTAAACATTTAAAATTGCAGATTTACTAGTAATGTGTTCAAATATGGATGACATATCGAATTTATCGCATTTCCAAAGTTTTCATGGACGATTTGGTAGCCTTAATTCAAGTTATTAACTAAACTTCAACTATGTATGTATGTATGTATTTAGGCTAAAAAGCACAAATATGGAGGGTAGATGCATATCAAAAATCCTGTCAATCCTACTATTCGGCCATAAAATGCCCCAAGGATTAAGAAAAATTCTATCCAAAGAATAAACCAGCTTATCGCTCTTAAAAAAGATAATGGTATGTGGACAACCTCAGCCAAAGATTTATTGACAGCTTCAGGTTCCACTAGTTCCGAACCCGCAAACAGTACGTTGTTGGACTCGATTGAGAGCAGGGAAAATATATTGTCCGCATAATTTCGTCCGCAAGGCTAGACGGTATAATTTCGGCAATGCTACAGGGGAAGAAAGCAGAACTATTAGGCTCTATATTCACAGCCACCATCACTTTAAGCTCTTCATCTTTTTCATTAGCTCTGTAACCGCCTAAGCGATTCTGGCCGAGTTCGGAGAGCACGCCAAGTGAAGCCAAGTCGTTCTCCACTTAGCCTTTCTATCGCAGTGGGGGCCTCCCTCTTTCTCTGCTACCACCAGCGTGTTCTGAGTTGAATACTTTCAGAGCTGGAGCATTGGTGTCTATTCTAACGACATGGCCAAGCCAGCGGAGCCGCTGAATTTTAATTCGCTGCATTATGTCCATGTCGTTATAAAGCTCATAAAGCTCATCGTTCCATCGTCTGCGGTACTCGCCGTCGCCAATGCGTAAAGGCCCGTAATTCTTCCGCAAAACCTTTCCCTCGAACATTCCCAATTCTGACGGAGGTGGTGGTATTGCACAACGTCATTTTACACAGCCGTGCCAGTTTCGAGGGGATGCCAAATTTATACATCGCGGCGTATAGGCAACTTTTAGTGCTATCGAAATATGCGGTGAGTGTCGATCCTTTTCTCGCGGGTCTTTTCCCGGATTTGGCGTATTAGAAATACCTGGTCTATGGTAGATTTGCCAGGTCTAAAGCCACACTGATAAGACCTAATCAGTTCGTTGACGGTGGGCTTCAGTCTTTCACACAATACGCTCGATAAGGCCTTGTAACCTATGCTTAGAAGGCTGATCCCGCGGTAGTTGGCGCGAATGGCGGGGTTGCCTTTCTTGTGGATTGGGCAGAGCACACTTAAATTCCAGTCCTCGGACATGCGTTCATCGGACCATATTCTGCATAAGAGTTGATGCATGCACCTTATCAACTCCTCGCCGCCGTACTTGAATAGCTCAGCTGGCAGGTTGTCAGTTGCAGGAGCTTTGTTGCTTTCCAAGCGCGCTATTGCTATTCGTACCTCGTCATAGTCAGATGGGGGAACATCGAATTCGTCATAATCGACTGGGGGCTCGGGTTCGTCTTCTCCACAGCTTTCAGTACTGCTACCATTTAGGTGCGTTTTAGGCATCAGTCACTAGGTCGCCATTGTTGTTCTTTCAATAGTTCGCTCTGGTCTTTAAACCTTCCGTATGTCGACTAACGCTGTGGTAAAATTTTCGGTCGCATTCCCGTATTTCCTCCTCTTCTTACTGCCTCTCTCTTTTTACTGTGGCAAACACGTCTTTTCGTACCAGTTGTTCTTTCGGGCTCGCTGAAATCCGACTACTTGTCCGCGGCAGTACTTAATGAACGGGAAATGATGGTCCACTGCTAGAATATGTCGGTTTGTTGAAGAGCGCTCTCCGAGAGCAGGAGTTAGAGTCGAGTAGCGTAAGCATTGGTTGTCTGTTGTGCACATTTTTCGATGCACAGAGACGGGTGCGCATAGTGGTTGCAAAAAGAGAGTGGTCTGAGTCGATGTCTAAAACACTGAAAACATGCCTTCCGTCTATCTTAACATGATAGCCACGTAGCTTGAAAGATCTTTTTATGCTTGCACTTAGTACTGCATACTACCACGTTTCGGGCCCCGGTTAGCTTCAGTCCGTTGTCAAACGTTTCGTCGTGGAGGCTGAATTTTCTGACGGTGCTTCCAAAGATCCCTTCCTTGCTCCTGCACCCTGTCATTAAGGCATGATTTTGATATAACGGGGGCAGCCCTCGTATTTTCGCTCCAAGCGCTCATAGAAAAGATCATTGGACGCCTCGTCATTTTCTACCGTCCGGACATGACCGAGATGTTGAAGAATCTCGCTTTGATGCGGCTTGTGGTTCGCTCGTCCACCAAGGTGAACGGAAGTACTCGGCGACGGAGTCTCTCTTCCACCATAAATCCAACACCGAATTTGCGCTCCTTTACATGGCAGCTGTAGGAGACGTCGCAAGGTCCCAGACGTCCAACGCAGTTTTTAGATGGCGGTGATGTCAGCTTTTAAATATAAATACATAATATGTACATTAAACATCTTATGTGCTTGATAATTTGCATTTCTAAGCAACACTAATATTTCAGACGAGTTTTAGAAAAGGATTTAATACTTTGGTGGCTAACATACATTCGATATGCGTTGGAATACTAAAACATACCGCTTAATAGTTGAATTTACCATTGTTTAATGCATTATTCATTCAAATGTTTGAACTTTCCAATTTAGTTTTTCGTTTTTTTTCATTTCCCTACTTTAAGTTGCAATATTCCTAAACAATAAATAAAATAATAAAATAAACTAAACTAAAACTACACTGTGGAACAATTTTATGATTTTTATTTAGGTATACACCGATATAAAGCGCAAGCGGTAGTGTCCATATGAGATAGTCGAGCCCTAAGAGGATTTTGCTTCACCTCAACACAATTTTCTTAATATGGAGTATATAAAATTGCATGAAACATAATTCTTCATTTAAGTTTACATGTGTACATATATTTTCGTAGAATATTTTAACTCTCGTAAATTTAATCTTCAAATTACCTGCTTAACACCTATATGGAAAATGTCAGTCTCCTAACTGCCATTTTTAATGATATTGATCTTACTTTTTCAAAATCAAAGGATCAGAAAGACCCCTGGTCAGTGTTAAGGAATTAAATTGTTCCACGAAAAAATTGCTGACAATTGCGTTTGGGCAAGATTTCGTCGGGGCCCTAAAAACGTTGTTTCACAGTGTTATTTATAAATTCCTTGTCTCTTAAAAGAGTGCTGTTTCGAATATATGCGCGAGCTAATTTCGAGGCATAGGTGCATTCACATTTCATTTACGAGGACCTATGTAGTTAATCTGAAACGCAAATACATGCGATTAAATGCCATAGTATGTATTTACAAATATGTACATACGTTTGCAAACAGTAAATATGCATTTACGCAAGTGAAACTTTAAACTCAAACTCGACATGTTTTCGTTTTTAATTTTTGCACGTATGTACTTGCGACTTTTGTTTATTAGAAAAAAATATATATATATATATAATAAAGTTTATCAAGAAATTATGGTTTTTTCTTCTGTGATTTCTTGCTTTTCTTTTGGGGCGGAGCTTCCTCTGTTGCCTTTGCGTCCGACATTTCCACATCAAACGGCGATTCGGCGCTGAAGCCTTTTATATAAGGTTTAACCAATTGGAAAACCAGCTTCTCATGTTGTACATTACGCGAATCCAAACTCAAACGTACAGTTACTGGATCAAACGCATGAAAAACGACATCTCCACAACGTTGTGTATAATCCTAAAGAGGATTTTTTTTTTTAGAAATTAAAGGGCATAAAATAAAAAATAAAAAAAAAATAATCAGTCAGCTCACCTCCTCGTTAAACTTGAACACTACACCGCCTGGTGTGGCCGCTTTATCGCCGGATAACGAATTCAGATATACAGTACCTTCCAAACCGAATTTTGGTATAAGCACTTGTAATGCATTTTTTTCGTACAAACAGCACATAACTGTGAAAACAACAAACGATTCAACAATCAGTAAAAATTGGAAAAATTCAAGGTAGGTTTGCCAATTTCACTTACCCTTCTTCGTCCTGAGTTTTTCCACGGAAGAACAAATGCGTATTTAGCGCAACTGATGCACGTCCCGCATATTGTGCCATCTTGTGTCGGTAATTTAGATTATGACACAACTCTTCGTTCAATTTCTTATCGAGTAGGTCAGCATATGTACTATCAGCGCCTATAGAAGCAGCCAAGAGGCGATGCACAATGATGTCCGAATATCTGGATATTAAAGTTATATAATTTTAATTCTAAATTTCAATTAAATCTACGCATGTCTACCTTCGAATTGGCGATGTAAAATGTGTGTAAATCGGTGTCGCCAACCCGTAATGGAAAAATTCCTCTGGTTGCAGTGTGCCGCTAATAAAGTAAACTGCCTGCATCATGCAACGTGTCGTCAGAATACGTATCATTGTATTAAAATATGCATTATCTGGCTTCACACAAGCATCCAATGAGCCAGCCAATTCCAATCCTGAATCAATTTTAATTTCAAAGCCTTGATGATTCGCCGCTTTAATAAGTGGTTCGAAATTGCTTGGCGCTGGCCGCGGATGCCTGCGTAACATGGCGCATTCCGGAAACTCGGTACATATATGTTCAGCCACTGTGCAGTTGGCTAACAACATGAATTCTTCAACCATGGAATTCGTTTCACGCACTTGTTTTGCCTCTACTTCGAGTGGTTCGTGCGTCTCACTATCGACTTGGAAACGTATCTCCGGTGACGCTAGCACCAAAGCGCTGTAATTATGAAATATTTGTACGAATACATAAAAAAACCACTAAATAAAAAATTGTTACCCATTGTCCATACGTCGCTTCTTCAATATTTTCGCCAGTTTATTGAGATTTCTAAGAGATTTGGCGATTTCCGTTTGCTGCGTTGTATCGTCAATAATAATTTGCGCCTGCTCGTATGTCATCGCTGCCTTGGATTTGATAACACTTTTGTGAAAACGTTTCGTTAATATATTCGCCTCATTGTCCAGTTCCCAAATACAAGAGAAAGCAAAACGTTCTTCACCTCCTACTAGCGAACACAAATTGGAACTCAATAGTTCCGGTACCATGTCAATACGTTTGCCTACCAAATAAACCGTGGTACCACGTGACGCTGACTCCTTGTCCAACGCGTTGCCAGGACGAATGAAGTGACTCACATCAGCGATATGTACGCCTACTTCTAAACGTCCATTAGGCAGTTCGCGACAATGTAGAGCGTCATCAATATCCGTACAACCTGGCGGATCCACAGAGCAAATATTCAAATCGCGTAAATCGACACGCTTTTCGTAATCCTGCGGACAATTTAAAAAAGTTTACATGGCTTTTTTTTTTGTTAATACATAAAATATCATACCTCCGGTGTAATGATCCATGGCATTTGTGGTAGAAAACTCAGCACCTCCTCGGAGAATTTGCTATGCGGCACATCGTGCTCCAGGAGTATCACCTCATTTTCGGTGTTCACATCGCCCAGCGGTCCAAGGCTGCGTACGAAATGGCCATGCGGATAGCGTGATGTGCGTGGCCAAGAATCAATAGCTACTATTATGCGCTTATTCAGCAGTTGCTCTGCCTGACGCGTTTCTATGCGTACGCGTGGAATTTTACGATCCGCAGGAATGAATATATGGCGTGATGTGTTTTCCAACAGACTGGGTTGTAATATACCGCAGTATTGACGCCACTTGCGGCGGATTATGCCTACCACCTTGCCTGTAGGGCGAATCTCTTCTCTTTTCCCGCGATTCTTTTCAAAAACGACTTTTTCTTTGGCTGTGCGTTCTACATTATCCCCCGGATCTTCATCAACGCCTTCTTCCAAAACAATTTCACTTGGAGCTGACCATTCTTCTTGAGGTAAGAGCTCAATAGCCACAATATCAGCGTCAACAGCACGGTTTAGTGCTTCACGGCCTTGTATAAGTACCTGTAAGTTATGAAATATGTAATGTCGAAAAGAGTACGATAAAATAGTCAATTGTGTTTACCGGATGTTCGAAACCTTCGACCGATACCGCTCCTTCTAGATAATTCTCACGAGACGCCTGAAAAGAGCCCTGCAGCAGTCGTTTCGCCTTAATGCCGTCATGTATATCGTTTATACTCAAGTGTGTTGGAAAGATGGGCAATGTCTTCTTATCGCTTTCGAAATTCTTACGGGCATACTTATCAATTAACATTGGAAAGTCAGTTAACGATTTTACATACTCCTCGGCATTTGCTACTAGTATACCCTCCTTTTCAGCGCGCTCCCTATTGGCGGCATCCTCCGTTATCATCACCACCCGGGTGCGTGGGCGTCCTGACTTTTGAAAAGCACGACTATTTTGTGCCTCCCCAATGTGGACATCATACCAGAGTGTGGCTTTTCTTATAGCGCGATCATTACGATCATTAGCACTCTCACCGGGCTCACGTTCAACATAAGTGTCCCTGTAAGGAAAAATAAAATTAAGTGCACGCGTTAGCTATCAGATGTAAAAAAAAGGCGTCAACCTACTTGTGATGCTCATTTACGAATACGTAAAAACCACGCGTCTTATGCTGCACAACATCGCGGAATCGTTTGTAAACCGCACTGCTATTATGCTTAACCTCATTCAACATCGTAGACAATACAATCACATTGGATATAGCATCCTCCTCCAGCACATCGATTTGATTCAGCACAACATTTGTATCCAACACAATATAGTGCGGGAAAGGGAATAATGTGCTTTTTACTTCGCGCTCAGGAAGTAAAGCCACAGAAGTTTCGTCCTGCACACAATTTTCGCATATCTCTGCACCACATCCCAAGTCATCACGTAGATAATGCTCACGTACGATCTGAAAGGATCTTGTATGAAGGTTCCGAAATATGTATGTTTTTGTTGTATGTATTACCTTTAGAATGTTGCCACGCTTTGTTTTACGCGTGAACTCGCGTATGGTCTGCATTTTTAAGCGAAATTTAGGTTTTTAAACAAAAAAAAACTATTAAAACCAAATTAAAATCCCAAATTCGCCTAACAAAATCACTAAACATGTGGAAGAACAACAAAAGTGGATTGTTGAAACAGCTGATCAACAAAGGTAAGTGTTGTTGACGTCCAATATTCGGGTACATCACAAAAATTAGCAAAAGTATAAGGTTTAATAAATTCAATATTAATTAATTAAATACAGATGTAGAACTTTTGACCTATGTATATAGGCTGGGCAACAAATATTTGTTTGCTATAGTAACCATATGCAGATGTTGCCAAAAACTATTTTATTTACGGCAATCGTAGGGATAACATAAATACCCTTTGGAAGGGAAAGCAACACTTTTACCCAACCACACGTGTGTTTCGTTTTTATGTGTTCCTGCGCATTTTTTATTTTCTTCATCAGTTGAATGGTCAATTTTTTAGTGAATTTTATTTAATTTGTGCAAATTATCAGGAAAAAATAAAAAATGGTTATTGTTGAAAAGAGCTTTCCGCGAGGCGGATTGCCTGTGAAGGAAAATAAAACAAATGAACCAAAAGAAAATATTGTAAGTACCCAAAAGCATGATTGAGCCATCCACAACACAAACTGACTCACATATACTTCCACTAGATTTTTGGAGCACTACAGAAGAAAATCAAGAAACCGAAGTCTAAGCCAAAGGATACTGAATTTGTTGAAAATGATCAAATCCAGTCGGTGTCTGCTGAGCTACTTAGTTACGATACCATTCAGGATGGCATGAATATAATGGGTGTAGTGAAAGCTATAGACCAGTTATATCTTAGTATCTCACTACCCGGCCGCATGATTGCACGCGTCTCTGCTTTGGAAATATCGGATTCCTATACTAAAGCTACCCGCGAATTTCTACAGCAAATCGAAAATGGGAACAATTTTAAGCCACTTACAGAATTATATCACATTGGTCAGCCAGTTTACGGACGCGTACAGGAAATTAAGCAAAATGAATATGGTCGAATGCAAATTTTACTATCGTTGCGGCCAAGTGAAGTGCATTCGGAATTGTCACACATGAACATCAAAAAGGGATTCGTTTTTAATGGTGCTGTTGAAGAGGTACAGGAGCATGGTTATATCATAGAAACAGGCATCAAAGGATTACGTACGTTTGTGCCATTGGAGAAAGCGCAACCTGATCACGTTGTTGGAGAGTTATTTTTTCTAAAAGTTGAGAAAATGACAACCGACAAGTCAGTTAGTACATGTATTTGCAAAGAAATCAAGCCGGATAACATGAAAATCAAAAATCAAATGGAACCAAATATTGATTACATTTTACCCAGCACGATTGTACAATTTTCCGTAGCAAAAGTACTTAAAGATGGCCTACAGGGCACCATAATGAATGAATCATTCACTGCATACATAAATGAGCACCAATTGGCTGAGCCATTGGCGTTGCCGGAAGATTACGAGATAAACTCTACGATTAATGCACGCATTTTATACGTTATGCCGCTTACCAAACTTGTCTATTTGACTTTAAATTTACGCACATCGTCCAATGAGCAATCTGTTGAGCCACAATACAAGAGAGGCGACATCATAGAAGCAGCTAGAGTACACCACTTGGGAACCGGTGGTGTAATTTTAGTGTTAGATAACAAATTTAAAGGTGTGCTTTCGTATCGCTCTATTAAGGCTAATTATAAGGGAAACTATGATCAGGATGAGGTGCTGGTTAAATATGCAAAGAAAACAAAGCATAAGGTGCGAGTGCTTGACTATGATCCAATGGATTCGCTTTACATTTGCACCGATGATGCAAAGACAGTAAATGAAAAGGTATTTACTCTGGACGATATAAAACCTGGTGAATTTGTGACAGCCATAGTTAAAGAACGCGAAGCTAAAGTCGGAGGTTATGCAATGCAGGTTGGCAGGGTAAAAGGTAAGTGAAGAAAATGTATAATATTAAATTTAGAAATACGTTTTGAGCAACTTTGTCAATTTTTCTTTTGTTTATTTAATGTGTATTATTAATTCATAAAAGTCTAGCTCATTTTACAACAAATATAATATAAATACATGGTGAAATTATAAACTCGATCTTATTACTACACCATGATATAAATCTACATTTCAAACTTTGTGCAAAAATTATAAAAATTCTGCATAATTGCATTTGAATTTTCAACTTTGTAATCAGGTTTTTCAGATTTTTTT